GGCAGGCGGATTTCTGTGAGTTCAAGGCCAGCCTGGTCTCCAGAGTGAGTGCCAGGATAGGCTCCAAAGCTACACAGAAAAACCCTGTCTCGAAAAACCAAAAAAAAAAAAAAAAAAAAAAAAGAAAAATAAAAATTAAGGGAATGGCTTAAGAGCCAGCCAATGGCAACATCATGTACTAGTTAGTGTTAATCTGGAATAGTTACATACACTAAATAATATGAACACTATTTGTGGGTTCATCCAAAGACTGCATCATAAGGGTAACAAGATGTAGTCCTCCAAGAGTGTACAGTGCCTACAGGTACAACATAGTACTTCGAAAACTCACAAGGAGAATGCTGAGAACAACTCAAAGGGTTGTATGACACAGAAGCAGAGTACATGGGATAGATGGATACTGTTATACATGTTAGCTTTCTGCTCCTTTAAACTGTGTGACTGTTCACACATTGACACATGGGCACACACACATACACACAGAGACAATTTGACAAAGATGTTTAACACGATGAGTAAAAGGCTGATGGCTTTCTAAAGCTCTAGGGAATCATGAATCTTTGTAATCCTTACCATGCTGGCTGGCATATAATTCTATAAATACCTGTTGTATGGATAGACTTTTAATAATATAATGAAAAGCAGAAAATACCTTTAGATTTCATATTAAATCATACGAAAGTGTGAGTGTATGACAACAATGAGAAAAAAATACTTCAAAAGTGATTTTGATATATGCTGCAGAATATTACTTTAACTATGTAAAGATATGCTACATTTGCTGATGCTGCATTTGTTTAATTATGTAAAGATATGTTGCTGTTTGACCTTGCCTGCCTAAGGCACCTGATTGGTCTAATAAAAAACTAAATGGCCAATAGCTAGGTAGAAAGGGACAGCAGGGTTGGCAGACAGAGAGAATAAGTAGGAGGAGTCCAGGCTGAAGAGGGAGATACTGGGGCCAGCCAGCCAGACCAGCTAGCTAGCCATAGAAGCAGCAGGGAAAGTAGGATACACAGAATGAAAGAAAGGCAAAAATCCCCAAGGCAAAATGTAGATGAAGAGAAACAGGTTAAATTAAGTTATAAGAGCCAGTGGGGCCAGCATAAGGCCGAGCATTCACAACTGGTATTATAGTCTCTGTGTTATAATGTCATGATTTGGGGGCTGGTAGTCCAAGAAAGTCTGCTATAGATAGATATATGACCTTAACAAAGATTTTCAAATTATGGCTAGTAAAAGTATTAGTCAATTAAAAATGTATAAGGGGGAATTTTTTTTGGATAATATATATGTATATACAACACATACCTATATGTATGTATGTGTGTATGTATGTATGTATGTGTGCATGCATGCATGCATGCATGTATATATTTAGAATAGATGTATTTTACAACTGCGCATGTTTGTAGGCAACTATAATTCCAGCAGTAGGGAAGCTGGGATAGGAGACATTAAGAACATGCCAAGGTGCTTTAAAAAAAAACAAAAAAACCCCAGCCATATACTGCCATCTAGTGGCCATGAACATAAGTATGGCCTGGCTTGGCTTTGTCAACTAGAGACATCACTTTTCAATTTACCAGGCGAGTCATGAACAGCAATATAAATGCAGAAGAAAATCAGGCAGTAAAGCTAAAGTATTTTATTAATAATTTATTGTCAGTAAGAAAGGCTGGCTAATGATAGTTTTCAGTAAAAACCTTTACAAGACCATTGCATCACAAATATACAGACACTATAAAAACTGTGTCATGGTGGTTTTGGTTCTAAACAGGTATGCAGAAGGTCCCCTTTACACTTTCCAGTAATGAAAAATGTTTACAATCCTAATACAGCAACCCATTTAAGACATGTCCAGTAACAGGTCTTCCTCACCTTGTATGTACAGCTAGAAATAAATGACTGGACCGAAATGCGTTAATGAAATGTCATACTTCAGTGGGAAAGAACACAGTGAAACCCTGGTTACATTAGAAAATCAGGGTGCTAGGCGACGGACGACACTACGCCACCCAGATCCAGAGGAAAACAAATGCACAATGCGTTCTGAAAACATAGTTAAAACTATGAAAGGAAAAAAAAAATCAAATCTGTACAGAAAATTTACACACACAAAAAAAGCAAAATTAAAATAAAATCGAATCTATATAAATACATGAATCATGCTAACAGGATGACAGGACTGATTTCGGTTTCATTATTTTAACAGAGACACATCTAAATACGAAAAGATGCTCAGAAATGGCACAGGCGATGAGAACCCCTCAGGTACAGTCGGTTAGGAACTGGAAATGGCTAGCATGTCAAGAGGCGTGTGATTCCGTGCAGCCATGCCCACTGCAGCTCACTGAGAAGCGCATAAGACTGCTGCAAAGAACAATGCGGAGATCATTGATACCCTCTCTAGGTTCTTTAAAGTCCAGGCACTTTGGGGAGGAGTCTGAGTGTCACACTTCTGTATGCTGTTGGGAATCTAGTGGAGGAATTGTCACTTCTTCAAAGTGGCCATCATCGCCACTCTCATAGTCACTCATCATGACCTCAGACTCTACTTCACAGCACGCTGACACGTCAGAGCAGGATGCTGTGGAGGTGTACACAGACATGGGCATGTTTTCGACAGTGGGGGCTTCGAAGTTTCTTTGATACCCTGGAGGGTACGGGGCATAGGGTTCTCTACACATACTGTTTTCACCAGTGCCTTGTTTTTGAGGTTCAGACATATCGGCGGGGTAGAAACTGGGCAGATACTGATTCAGGTTGAACCTCTGCCGACTTCTGGAGGAAGATCCCAAGCTACCTGCAGCAGGCATGTCTCTGGGTGGGTGTATGGACTCAAACTGGTCGCTGAATTCTGGAGGCAATGGTGGCAGCTCGTCAGGCGCAGGGAAGTCCTCAGGTGGGGGTGGGAAGTCACTTTCAATGTCATAACCCCCAGGGTAATAGTCAGTATCAATGGCATTTGGATCCGCCGAGTACAGGGGTGTGTGCTCGTCAATAACTTCGTAATTGGGGAACTCTTGTATGTCTGGCAGGGGAACACTCGGCATCCAGTCTGATGTGTCCCAGTGGTACCCTTGGTAAAGAAGAAAAACAAGATTTCAGTTCATTTCTTTTAGCTTCTGTGCCTTGGGGAAAGAGCTCAGTGTATCAGAGGCAAGACACACAAGTATATGTGCATTCATTCCAAGCGCATCTCTCTGCAAACCCTTTGCCTTGAAGACACAGCCCCACCCCGACACACTGACTCTATTTCCGGAAGGTGGACTTGCAGTTTTGGCTCATATCTGACATTCAAGGCAACAGAGTTCCAACAGAAGCAGCTATACCGTTTAAAACACATGCAGCTTTCTACAGACGGTCCTAACCACTCTTCAGCTTCCCTTCTGTAACTGGGGCCCTGCTCCATATGAAGGCAGGATAGGGAGTTAGTAAGAAGCTTTTGAAACCAAGGTCTCTAGTGGGGCTCTGTGCTGCCTGTCATCCAAAAAATACTAAATTAAGGCAAATCTAAAGCTAATAAGAATAGTCTTTAACATGGTTAAATTCAGGTAACAGTAATAGTTATATTTTTATTAGCGATGATGAATTAATACAAGCTATGTATTAAACCATGTCCCTAAATCAAACAAAAAATATAACCAAGTAAGTGTTCAAAAGAACAGTTTGTAACAGGCTATACCAATCAATCTTTGTTACATTTAAAAGGACTGAGGATCATTCTCAACAGTACGAAAATATGTTTGTTTTTTTTTTTTTTTTCAATCAATCCCTAACTTAAGGGTAGGTGTTTTTCTTTTTCTCTTCTTAGGATTCACAAAAATTCTTCGACAGCTAAAAGAAGGCTAGGCAACCCATCATACAAGGCAATGCACAACCATGGCCTTAGATACTGCTACAGCACCAAGCACCCCAGTGAAGCAAGTAGGCATCGGGCCAATCTTTCCCAAAGATTTTTAGTGGTTATTTGTGCACAGCTGGCATGCATAAGTCACCTCTTGGTTTGCTGAGGTCAGGAGCAGCCAAAGATTCTTTTGTTGGCAGAGTAGGAAGAAAAGAAAACAGTGATAATTAAAATAGATAGACGGCGGGAATGGCAACACAGATAAGCACATGGTACAATATAATGTGTTCGTAAAGATTCAGCCAGACAGACACACTGTCTTTACCTCATTCTCTCTAATGAGTGCAAATGAGAGATTCATGTTGCACAAACTCAATGGGACGTGGAAACGGAAAAAGAATGATGAGCGATGATAAACTAGAGACTTTGCTATGAATCCTGGAAACAGAATTTTCTTAGGAAAATTACAAACTATAGGCAGAAATGCAAAATATATTGATTGGTTACTTAAGTGATAATCTAAAAACACATGGAGCCACACAATGCACACACTTTACAGCACACACAACCACCAAAAGTGCAAGTTCAGAGAAACTGATGCTACATGCTCACAAACAATCGGACACTGACCATCTCCCAAAACCTTATATATTTTGCACTGTGATTTTAGATTTATACTGTTAACCTTTCCCTAGGGAACTCCTTAATCAGCTACATTTATTGTTTGGCCTCTTCCCACCAAATCTGTAGCTATCCTGTCTCCCAGTGATTGTACTACAGACAGAACTCTGGCCCCAAGTCCCCGTAAGTAGATGGAAAAAAAATCTCAGGACCATGGGATGCTTAGCCTGGACAGGTTTCAGATTGGTTTTCTACATAAAATGAGGTAAAGCCCATGGATTATGTCATAATTAATCAAGATAATGTGGATCAAATATGACCCTTAGGTAAGTCGTCATCACTATAAGTTCAGTAGTCAGGGCAGAACTATGTACACTCTTCTATATAGGGGTAATACTCTCTGTGCACTCTGTAACAGCCTTTAAAAACCAAGACAGTAAACTAATTTTCACAAATTAGTAGTTGACTGACATCTTTGGTAGGAGCTGAAATAAAAGTGGAAAAGACAGGTTTCAAAAGTATGAATAAAGTGAATATTTAGGAAAAGTGAAGATGTTTACTCACTGAGTATAATGTAGTGAATTTCTTTATATGAGGACTGGCAACCTTTGTTATGGACTATGCATTTGATAACCCTTAGAACTTATGTGAGTTTTCAACTTTAAATTCACTTTAGATAAGAAAAAAAAAATCAGTAGAAATTACATTGAAGAAACTGTTTAAGTTCTTTGAACTGTTTAAATTTCTGCTTCTTTAAACTGTCAATATTTAACACATTGGAATGTCATCGTGTTTCAACTAAAATTGGGTAGACAAAACACAGATAACATTCTGACTTACAAAGTGAAAACACAGTCCTTGTAAGAAAAACTAAGTTCCCTTAGTAACTATAACCATTGATGTGAGGCACTTGCCCTGCTCCTCTCCCTCCAAATCTGGCAGGAAACCTTGCCTCTTCCACCTAAAAGGTGCCTGTTGGCATGTCCTTTGTGGAAGAATCGTGTGTTTACTGCTACAGATGCTTGAGTACTATTTGTCTTGTGTGTGTGTGTGTGTGTGTGTGTGTGTGTGTGTGTGTGTGTGTGTGTGTATGTATGTTTGTGTGTGTGCACACACGCATGCTCATTTGCACATGTGTGTGCATACGGAAGCCCAAGGCTGATGTTGGGACACATGCTTGGTTTCTCTTTCACCTCCAGTAGGGTCTCTCAACCATACCCAGAGATCTTGCTTATCGTCTCAGAGACAGTTTATTCCGAGGATTCCCTGCCTCTGCCTTCCAAGGCAGGAATTACCAGCAGGCCTTGATCAAGCCCACCCTAATTTCCATGAGTCCTGGGGATCTGAACTGGTCTTCACACTGCCACTTGGGTAGCTAGCACTTTATCTGTGGGCCATCTCCCGCCCAAGCCCAACAATGTGCTTGCTCCTGATGGTCTAATTCAAGTACTTCCTGAGTGATGATTTCTACATCAGAAAATTTCTAGATCCAAATTGACTGGAAACTTATTGAAAATGAAAGTTCTCAGAGCCAAGACAGACTTACTCAAAAAACCAGCCCCCAAGTTTTCATTAGGCGTCCCCACAATATTTAAAACAAGTCACAAAAAGACATACAAATATTTTCATATTCATTTACACTGCGAATGTATACTTCCCCAAAGGAAAGCCATCAAACCTCCCCTAAACAAACAAACTACATTAATAACAGGACAACGGGCAGAAACATGTCACCCCACTGCACTCACTTCAAATGACAAACACAAAACACAAGCACTTATACCTTCTTTAGTCACCGTGTCAACGACAGCGTTGACAAGGTGTATTACAGTCACTATGGAAGCTTGTAAAAAGGCAGAAAAGGAATCAATTAGAAAATCCTTATTTAGTAGAAAACAGTGCATTATATAAAATTTCTCAATTTAATGTAATTTCTCCTCTAATTTAAAATTGTGCAAGAATGCTTTGATACCATTAGATAGTTATGCATGACCTCTGTACTCTCCCTGCTAGTTATGGGTCTCAGGATATTCCTAATCAAGCTATAGACTGGTTACTATCAGTCAAGTGAATGGAACAGTCCTGTTTTAGTGGATGGTAGGGGGAAAGCTTGGGCTAAGTATTTTCTACATTATGACTACAGATTATACCAGGGTAAAAAACTATTCAGATCTACATCTCCTGAACAAAAGACTACATGTTCAAGGAACCAGTATATTGCCTGGGAATAAAGAAATCCAGGGAGATATATGTGCAACATAAATGCAGCATAACCACAACATAAACTGGTTGTGTCCCCTTTGCTTAGCGTGTATTTCTCGTCTCACAGATACTGTGTGGACTCCTTTTCCATTTGTGTGAGATTATTTAAAAGTACCAATGTTGACATAAATGTGCATGCAAACCGTTGGTTCACTCTAATCCTGGGATCTAATGACTATTTTACCCAATACATGGAGAAACAAACAAACAAAAAGCCTTCCTGCTGTCATTAGGGAGAGAGCTTAGTGAATTAGTCGACTGGGCTGAGTGAACGGGACTGGCCTGTAGAAGGGAGCCATCCCAGCTGTGGTTGGAGCTTGGCAGTTTCACTACAGGTATCGAATAGGGATCAAAATGAACTGTGAAGGCTAAAGCCTTAATTAGCAAGAAGGCGAATGACTTCTAGGCACTGGAGAAACAAGGAAACCAAGAAAGCTTGTGGAGCCGTGTGTTGCTGGCGCGCGCCTTTAATCCCAGAACTCGGGAGGCAGAGGCAGGCAGATCTCTCTGAGTTCGAGGCCAGACTGGTCTCCAGGGCCAGTGCCAGGATAGGCTCCAAAGCTACACAGAGAAACACTGTCTCGAGTAGATCCAACCCACAGACCAAAGTTATTCAGAAGCCTGCCCCTGGGCTCAGGGATTTGCATGGACCATGTGGAAACTTACAGGACAGGGAATCTGGCTGCAGGTTCCCACTCAGATCCGGCGCGGAGAGATGCAGCCCTGTTGACACTGGCCTTCACCCCTCAGACACAGTGGACTCCTAAGCTACAGAACCACACAAGAAACTGCCTTTGATCTCTTGAGCTTCAAAATGTAAGTTAACTACTACAGTGGTTTAGAAAACTACTGAGGAAATGTTAAGTGCAGACTGGGCACAGACTTGAACTTGATGACTGAAAATATTCAATGTCGTGTACTCAGGTTGATGTAATAACAGTCTACCAATAACAGTGCAGATCTCCACTCTCATTGCTTCAGCTAAGAATTAAGTTTCATAACTATTTTGACAATGACTTCTCAAAAGCATCTGAATATTGTTAAGACTGGGGTTTAAAAGAACAAAAGAAAAGAAAAGAAAAGGACTAGAAAAAGAAAGAAAATACTGACAGAATTCTCAAAAGTATTTTTGAACAGCATTTAGGGGCCAAAGTAAGTCACATAACCTGGCAATACAAACTTCTGAAAACTGAAACTAATGAAAGGAATAATACTGTTTTGTTCTTATTTGTTTAGTAAGCAATACATCCATATTCTCCACCCAGGAGTAAAAAAGGGTGTGCTTTAAATATGTTAAACATGATTGAAATATTCAAGAAACAGAAAATATAGTCACCTTTAATGAGGAAAGGGCCCTGCAAAGTTTTATAGACAAGTAGACCCACGGACCCACAGAGATGTGATTCCTTATAAATTATATTACTCTGGTCATGGACTATGTTATTTTGAAACTGACAGTTATTAGCAAATTTCTTCTTTACAATGATAAAATATTCTTAATATGTAAACCCATTGCATTTTTACACAAGGAGACAAATTAAAATTGAGCCTACACATACTGAGACTCAACCATTTCCAGTAGAAAAATCACTATCATGGTACTCAAAACTTTCTGTACATGTGCTAATACAGTGAAGCCGTCGAATAGTGCAATCCATCCTGGGAAAACCAGATAAACACAACTGTGCCCTGGATCCCGCTGCCAAACCTTCTTCATTAGAAATATAATCCGACTTACTAGCCATCTCTTAAACTCTGCTCTCAGTCAGTGTGCTCTGATCCAAATGGGAGCTGGGGCAGCAGTGGGGTGGGGAGAAGACAAATAAAACCTTGTAATACCAAAGGTGTGACGGAAAGTGAACATTTCAGACTTCTACACATCTTTTCTCAGAGGGTGAACATACTTGTGTGTGTAATGCATGATCACAAAAAATAAATAAAATAGAAAACAAAAGCTTCCGTAACACTGTTATGCACAAACACACATACACACACAAAGTACAAAGCGTACAAGAGTAGCCAAACAGATAAAATTGTTTCTTTCCTATTGTTATAGTTAAAACAGTACTCCAGTAAGAACATCACTATTTTGCAATACTAGGGAATGAACCCAGGCCCCTGTCTATGCTAGGCCAAGTGCCCTATGACTGAACTAACTTTATTTTCCCCAGCATGGGTTCATGCAAGTATTTATACCTAGTATATATTTATGCACTGAGAGAAACATGGGACATTTTCATACTTTATTAGGGGACCCAGTCCATCTACATCAATCACTAATCAATATAATGAACATCAGCAGCATTGCCCATTGGGCACAGCACACCACCACCCAACACTCACCATTGTCATCACAGGACTCTGACTGGAAGGAGCTAAGGGACTGCACCTCCGACAGGCTCTCACGGGCACTGTAGGGCTGCGAGGGCTTCTCCTCCAGGGGCTTCTTGGAAAGACAAGGATCGAGATCCACCACTTTTGCTGAAAGGAAGACACGGCAGGCAAGCAGTGAGTTCTGAGTTCCCTCTGGTTCACAGTTTAGAGGGCAGGGCCTGGCTGAGCTTAGTGCTTGAGCTACAGAATGGAGAAGATGGAGCTAGAGAAGCATCTTAGAAGCCAAACAATAAAAAGGCCTACAGATATTCTCAGGAGACTCAACAAATCAGAATTTCTCCATAGAGAAGCCTATAAAGGGTAACTGGTGATGAATTAAAATTCGTCCTAAAATAGCATATACAGCCTTTTCTAAAGCTTCAGGTGTGTGCTAAGCCGCTAATACAAATATGGCTCATATGAACTCAACCACCTTGTGGCTCTAATAAAAAATAATTAGCATAGAAATGACCCATTATTATATAATAATTACAAATATAGTAGTATAATTATAAACAAACCATAAATAATAATAAAAATAATTAGCACGAAAAGACCCATTATTTCTTCTGATAATGAAACACCGCAAATCATGCTTGAGAATGTGTATCAGTTACAAAAGTGAAATGATCTTTCCAGAATATTACTTAGAACATGATGAGGTTTAATTTATCAAGATAAATGCCAAACACCCAATCCCAGCCAGGAACTGGAAGATTCTTCATCATTTCAGATTGGAAAGCATTATTGTTGGACCCATAAATACAGCAGAGCCAGCAACCTCAATGCCATTCCAGTGGCACTGTGAAGACATGGAAAAACGTGTTCTTACCATCATAGTCAAAGTCCCAGCTAGGTTTCTGTATGGAGTCACTGTCTGAAGGAGAGTTTGAAGGTGGTGGCGGAGGCAAATTTGGAGCTACACTACACACGGCCACAACTTTTCGGTGTCCATGCATAGACTCGGGGTTAAAAGTACTGAATTCTGGATGCTCTGGGATGGCCGAGCCTTCAAAGGAATTTCTGTCAAGATTGTTTCTAGAGTCACTTGGAATGCTTGGAGTGTAGGAAATAGGCCGGACAGGCACCTGGGGTGGTATGTCAGAGTAAATATTCTTGTTCAGCTTAGAATCGAAATAAGGTCTCTGTAAGAAAGCTGTCGTTGGTCCCAAACGTTTGTCCTCAGGTTCAGCCTGGGGTTTCTTCTTCCGGCTGATCATCTTACGGCAGAGGACAAACACCACCACCAGCAAGAATATCCCTGCTATAAACACAATAATTCCTATTCCTTCGGCCAGGCCAATATTCCATGGAGTGGACACATACTGGTTGGGAGTGGCATCTTCACAGTTCTTCCCTCTGTACTCGTGGCTGCAGTTACAGTGATAGGAGCCATATGTGTTCTCACAAAGGGCCCCATTCCGACAGGGGTTCCCAGCACATTCATCAATGTCACTCTGACATCTGCCAAGGAGAAGAATGAGAAATCTCTGCAGGAGGTATCAGATCACACCAGTCCTATAATCCTTCAGAATGAACACTAGACAACACTACTCCTTCGTAAGAGATGCCAAAATGTGAAACAATCAGAAAACAACAGAAACAGGAACTGAACAAAAGGTCTTTTGTAGAATAGTCATTCGACCATACACTGAGTGCATATTTGAGATGTAACCGTATCAAGCCAATATCTAGCTGCATTTTTCCAGAATTAACACATAACTGAATCAATTCAATAGGCTAAAACATTGCCTGTTTCAAGGTCTGACAGTCAGTCTATCATTCAGAAACGGGAAGATGAGGTGCATGTTAATAAAGTAGTGCAAACTGTTCTCATAGGGCAGATTAAATTCATTCAGTAGAAATGGTCCTGCTTGGGATTATGACAGTCCTGTAAGGCCTATGAGGGGATTGAAAACACACTATCCATTTTAAAATGCTGTGCCTTCTGGAATCATCCTGGGCACATCACCCTCACAGAACAGATCACAACCTGTCCCTTCTACTTTTCTAAACAGGGGCACACGGGATGGTTATGTACATTACTCCTCACTTATGAAAAAAAAATCTATTTGCAAATCATGAGCAACAAGAATAAAAACTCTGAATATTTCTGTCAAATATATAGGAATATTTATTGATAGGGATTGGAAAAAACATCAACTAAAGAACTGACGCCAAATAACTAATGGTAAAATTCAGGATTATAATGTCTGCCAAGAGGAAAATGATACAGAATAACTACAGGCAGGCCACACTAGCAGCATAATGAGACTGAGGGAGGCTTATCTAAACATTCTGTGGTAGGCACTTAGAAATTACGTGTTCCCAGTAGCTTTTTGTTGTTGAGACATGGTCTTACTATACAACCCCGGCTAACCTGGAACTCACTATGTAGGCCATAGAGATCCACCTGCTTCTGCCTACTGAGCACTGGGATTAAAGGAGTACGTCACCACCCCTGACTCCATTAACTTCTAAAAAGAGAAGTGAAAAATGGCTTGTCAAATACAAGACTGCATCTGAAAGTAGTTTCTTGTGTACTTTTCCTTAAGATGATGTATAGATGTGTGTTTTTTTCAGGAACTCTAAATATTTAAATTATAACCACCTTGTAGGCTTATACTGGGGGTTACAAAAGAGAAAACCAGCAAGGTTTAGATGCTGGACCAACACTGGTACAACACATGGAGAAATCATCATTAGTACCTTCTTACAGATAGATGACACCATGTCACAGGCTCCTGCTTTAGAAAACTTCATAAATGCAGCCAGTTTACAATCATTTGTTGCCTGCAAAGGCCCACACATTCTTCATCTATAAATAATAGCTCTATAGTATAGGGGCAGGGTTTTCCAACTTTGTATCAATCTTTTTGATACCTCCTTTTGTCTCAAAGACTTTTTTGTCTAGAAGTCATAATGCCAATGAGAACCACCACACTTGGAAGTGATGCATGTAAGCTAATGAACTTGTATTAATGGTCAGCACTGTGGAAAGGTGCAGCCGATATGAAGCTTGAAAGAAACCATTTACCTTTCTCCCCTAAAGCCTGAGTCACACTGACAGACAGCACCATCCAAACTGTCAAAACATGTTCCACCATTTTTACAGGGTTCATCTTTGCAGTATGGACTAAGCTGACATCTAAATAAGGAAAAGAACATGCAAAAAAAACCCTCATGAGTGCACTGCAAATAAAGACACCACACAGAAAGCATTAACAAGTGAAGAACACAGTGACCTCTCCTATGCAGAATAATTTCATGCTTTAAATATTTAGTCTCACAATTCATTAAGAAAAACAAACATACCTCTGGCCAGTGTACAATCCCCTACACTGGCAAACAAAGCCTCCATTGTCCACCACGCACGTTCCACCATAGAGGCAGGGGTTGGAGGAGCATGGGTTGATGCTCACCTCACAGTATATCCCTATGTATAATGCACTGCATTTGCAGTAATAACCTACACAGTGGAAAAGAACACAAAAATCCAGTCATGCAATAACCAGAAAGTGTTTCATTTGCTTTTACCTTTATATTTAAGTGAAGATACAGTTCCCAACATCTATGAAAAGTAGTAAAATTCTCATTCTCTCTGAGTGAAGAGCTATTCATATGGGTAAGCCTTCTTTCTACTGCCCATGGGTCAAATATCACTTATCCAAAATTCTGGGACCAGAAATGATTTGACTTTAGAGTGTTTTAGATTTCGGAATTTTTTTTTTAAATAGATTTTACTGGTAGAACACTTCTAAACTGGAAATCTGATACCGACAAATGTCCTAAATCCTGGAAATTTGAATAATACATTGGCAGTCAGAAAGTTCTGAATTTTGTAGTATTTAAGATGTTGGATTTTTTTTAAATACATTAACCAGTTTACTAAAGGGGGGAGAGTGAGAGAGAGAGAGAGAGAGAGAGAGAGAGAGAGAGAG